CTTGACCTCCTATTTTAGTAATAATCTCCAATCAAGCAAAATTTTATCATTTTTTCCATAGACATAATGTTAAATTCAAACTTATTTTTGAACAAATTCCTGAAATAGGTATCAAGTTAATTTTGCCCCTGTTTAAGATTATGTAATCAAAATTCTTGTACTGTATGTAGTTTTTGTATTATAAAAGATTTTTTACAAAAGTTGTGTATTTTGAGATCATATAAATCCGAAATATTGACAAATCATTCATAAATCAAAAACTACATTCAGCACAAGAATTTTGATTACATATTCTTAAACAGGGGCAAAAATAACTTGATATCAATTTCAGGAATTTGTTCAAAAATAAGTTTGAATTTAACATTATGTCTATGAAAAAAATGACAAAATTTAGCTTGATTAGAGATTATTACTAAAATAGAAGATCTAGCATGTTGATCATATCATAACAAAAACTCCCGCAGTTGGTGAGTATTTTGATATATCATTTGAATTTCTAGACCGAATACCTTTCGAGATATTCAACTTTATAATGTTATAGTCCAATAAAAAACACCCTGTATAACTGTCTAATATTTAACTGTTTTTTCATTTAATTGGAGTCATAAACGTATTATAAGACAGACTTTAAATGTCAAACCATTTCAATTGAACACTAGATTTCTTATACAAAAAGATCTTTCTTCTCAAAGGCATTGTTTCTCGCAATGAATAGACAAATGAAAAGAGAAAATGTTTTTCTAAATGAGACTCTCTTTTGTATGAAAATGCCTCATAAAGAAAGAGATAGAAATTTAGATACGATTAAAACCATAAACTAATATAATATATGATTTGCTTTTAACGACATTTTTGTCGGGAAAGAGAGAGAGAGAGAGAGAGAGAGAGAGAGAGAGAGAATTATCGGGAAAATTATTTTGTAACTTTATTTCCAACAAACCCTATGTTAACAGATTTGAGGTCTTATTAAGTGTTATCTATAAGTTATAGTAAACGTTAAGATAACAAAAGATTCAATGATCAAATGGAAAGAGTTTGTCATTAATTAAAAAACGAGAAAAAAAGAAAGTTTAATGAATTAAGATGTGAGGCATTGAATGAGAAAAGTCTTGTATAGTATATGGTTTAGAGAGTAGTGTAGTATTGAATGACTTACGAGGACTATGGGCACAATGGATGCCGGGGCTAATATATGATCCCTATGTTGACCTAGATTACATTCTGGCTTGACTTGTGAGGCACAGTTATTGTGGAGCTGTAATATAAAACCATTGCATGAATATATTTTTATATATAGATAAAAGTGTTTCAATTTTGTCTTAATTTACAGTCATTTGACACCAGCGACAGTGCAGTCCTGTAATGCCATTGTATTTAATGGGTTTTCGGCATTTACTACATTTGCCGTTACAATTGCCTTCTGTCCAGTGGTGTACAAACGCCTATCCATTGGCGCACATATCCATCCATAATAGGCACGCCATAAATGAGCATCAAATGCATCCATCCATCCATTGTCGCCACCATTCCGTCCAAACCAATCAATAAGAGTCGAAAATTGCAATATTTTAGCTCACGTTTCAAATTAAATTTTACTAATATTTTTGTTGTACAGAAGAACTCTTCTGTGTGTATACCTGAGATGTTTTCTTAGACTTGGAGTAAGTGCTAATACAGGAAGCCGGCGCTCTTTGCACACATCTCTCGTGTACCGTATATTTACAAACTATTGGCAACAAAATAAATAACAAAAAATACAAACTTGTTAACAAAATTTCCAAGAAATCAATACTTTTTTGAGTATTAGCTTAAATACCGAAACACTTTCCGATTTAATAATTGAATCTTTTGTTATCTTAACGTTTACTATAACTTATAGATAACACTTAATAAGACCTCAAATCTGTTAACATAGGGTTTGTTGGAAATAAAGTTACAAAATAATTTTCCCGATAATAACCGATTCTTAAATAGATATGAAATATTAATAAACACAATAAGTACTGTTGGCGACAGTTTTGAATTACATTTTAGATAGTTAATGACATGTTTTATAATTAAATTCTCATTAAAAAAAGATGATTACGGTAGTATTAAAATTCCTGAATTTCAATCCATAAATATTTAAAGCAAATTTTGTATATATATTCCGAAATCAAGTTATATTTAAATTTAAAATATATTTTTAAAATAGTATTGATTTTAGTCTATCATATATGACTTAATTTAAATAATTTATGTTAAATTATATGCTATGTTATGGGATATGCTGTCAATATTACAGATAAATAAATGTGAATTTTGTTGAGTTCTGTGAATACTGATGGGAAAGTCAGTCAAACAACTGTACATAACGTATAACTTGAACACTAATTCTGGAGTTTCAGTACAAAACTGGTATACAGTTTGGGAATCTTATAGCAAATATCTTTCATCTCTCGTCACAGACGAGCAAAAAATCTCTTTTCTTAAAATTTAATACAAGAGAAGAGAAATATAATTCAATTGTTGACAACATATGAGTTGAGTAACAATAAAAAAGTATGCGATTGACAGTGACTTGCATTCAAAGTAGTCTAACATTAGATTACTTAACAACAGAATTACTGCGAGATTTTTTTCGTCGGCAAAAAATATAAGTTTATTATTTAAGAAAACATTTTGAAGGAATAGATATCGGATTATATGTGTTGTATTGAATCTCAACTCAATTCTCGCATTTCATAATCCCTTCACTTTCTAAATGCAAACAATTTAAATAAAAAACTTTTGTTTCAAGTCTTATGTATTTTAAAATGAAATTCAATTTATTTTCTAAAATAATTTATAAGTGAAATCATATTTGTATGCAATTTCCAAACATTTTGTAAGCCCTTGAAATATAAAACATTTGATTGTATTATAATTTATAAAATGAAAGACTATTTAATGTACTTTTTACAATAAAAAGACGGATATAAAAATACTAACCATAAAGAAGTAAAATAATTAAATGTCAAATTAAAATAAATTGAATTTTGTTGTGAAATAAAATAATAAATGCTTTCATTTTTCAAATAAAAATATTTTACTTTATCTTTGAGTTGCAGTAAAATATTCTGTATATAAATTATATGATAATCAGAAGCATTAAAATCCACTGAAAGACTAATTATATGAAAGTTATAAAAGTGAAGACAAAATGTACTCACAGACACAGCACAAGCCTTTTTTGCCCAAACCGACTAACATTGTTAGACATAGATTACAATAAGCCGTACGACTGAAGTGCTTTAACCGCCAAACATGGTTCCCATCGTCTTTCACGGTTTGCTGCAATTGTTCAACAAATTTGAGTTTATTTTAAATTAAACGCTCAAAATGTGTTTTGCTTATCGCCCACAATATGTGCAATTATTGATAAGCACACACATTTACACACTAGCACATTTACTGTATTTCTACTATCATCCATTACTGTCTATTGTAAAAACAGAATATTCTAAACAAAACTAATTCCTTAATATAAAATTAATTTAAATATAAACACAGATAAATCAAATGAAGAAAACATTAATATAACTACAAATGCCATTATTTTAAGGAAAACACTAAAGAAAAAATAGGCTAAAGTCATAAAAGCAAAGATAAGATTAATTACTGAATCCAAGCCAAGAAGAACTAAGAGAGGAATGGTTGTGAGTCCACCCCTTTTCCATTCGTCCAGCGAAACGGTTCCGTCGGCGTCGTAATCGATCTCAACCATCATGTCTTGTAATATCTATAATCAAAATCATGAAAAACTCAACCAAAAGGAGATCTGATGCGAAAGAATGGTCTAAAAAAGCACTTTCGGTGTGTTTTTTTTGTTTTTGTAATTTATTTAAAATTCGATCCGAAATGTCAGTGAAAAATACTTTTATGAGTTTTAACACAACAATCAAATTAAATAAAGCGTTTGAAAGACAACTGCTTTACCATAAAGTTTTTGCTTATTTAATAGATGTTTTCGTAAGAAAAAACTTAATTCTTAAGAAAATAAATACGAATTGAGAAATAAAATCAAAATAAATTTCGTTTCCGTTATTTGATTCAAAGGTTTTTTGTCAATGTTTTTGTGATACCATTTGGCATATCTATCAATCATTGGTCTCCTTAAAGACATAGTTTAAATCAAATTCTATGTCCACTCTTATCCCAAAGCACTGATTGTGTCCAAACAAGTCAAATATAAACTCAATTTTTTATTTTTCGCTAAAAATCGTATATAAAATATTTTTTTATTTATAAATATACAGTTGAAAAATGTATTCACAAATTCTTTGCAAACTCTGGTATCCCTTTGAAAAAGTCTTTATATAAATAGCGCTACAATAATCATTATATGTAAAGATCATTATATCTTTATATCTATTACAAAACAAATATAATGTAATTTTAATAAACAAGAGTATGAGTGATATTGTGTTGATATAAGACTCATATAAGACAATACATAAGTGTCCAGAAATGTAAAGAAAAGCATAGAATCTAATGGTTTATTCATAGAAAGGACACCGAATATCAGTTCAAAATATATGGGAAAAGTTAATAAATTTATTAATTACTATACTTGTGGTCAATTGAGGCCAAAACTCTTAACATTATAGCTATAGTCTGTTGAAAAAATGCATTAAATCGTTGAAAGTATCTTAGAGTGCATTCAGTATAATCAAGAATCCAATTCCCTATCCATTCAAATAATTATCTATCACTTGAAAGGATATAACTTATAGATAAATACTGAATAAAGCATTTGACATAAAATTTCTATTATTCATCAAAAACACTGAATTACTAATATATTACTTTTGAAATTCTAATTATTCTCTCTCTCTCTCTCTCTCTCTCTCTCTCTCTCTCACTATTTGTTTTGTATTGAATAAAATTGAAAATAGAAATACTTGTGACGAAAAAAGTCAATAATTTTCGAAAGGAATTGAAAGAGCGAATGAAATTCATATTAAGGAGAAATTAAACAAAAGATTCACACATTAAATAGAAATATATATTATGTCTCTAAAAATATCCCTTTTATACAATGTATATACAGTATGATTATTGTTATAAAATCACGTTTTATACAAATTTTAATTAATCTATTTTTGAAATGAAAATATATAATAATATTCAAAGTGTTGGCAATTTTTTATCTTCCCAAATATGTTGTTCATAAAAAATAATAATTTAATATAAAAGTATATATTGTAGAACAAATATTTTCTGAATTGATAAACAATCAAAAACATTGTGTTGTATCCAATAATTCCTTGAATTCTTAGCCTTATATATAACTCAACATTATATAAAATCAAAGAAACAGTGTTTTGGGAACGAAAACGAAATGTATTTGAATTATGTTTTCTGTACGAAGAGATCGATATAAAAAACAAATATCGTAAATATAATTGCAATGAAATTGAATACCGGTTTCAATTCTGTGACATCCCATCCCAAGTACTCGGCCACTGTCATCATCTGATCCACAATGCAATCCATTTCCTATCAAATAGTTTAATTAGACATTAAAATAATAATTATTATAATAAAGGCATTCATTATCTCTTATAATCTAAATTTTGGCTTAAAATAATGTTTAACTAAAATTCACAGTAAATACAAAATTATACAAAATACTATCATTTTATGTCAAAAACAGATTTGAAACATAAAATCTAAATTATAAGCGCATTAATAATAGAAAGCTTTTACATTTGGATAAAATCTGTATTAAAACAAATACAGCAAAGAATTATATATTAATTGAAGAGAAAATCCATATTTAGATCATTTATAAATTTTGATTTCCAATTATTTTATATCAAGATTAAAATGTATATATTTTTTGTGTCTATAATAGTGTTTTGATTAGAAAATACATTTCATGCTATACTTCACTCCAATTCATCGCACATTTTAATCATTATATTTATTATTTTTCACATTTCCTCTCAAGAATACAAACAGTTATTTCCTGAGAGTTTGTCTCTTATATCACTCTTATTCTCAATTTTGGTAAAATANTCAAGAATACAAACAGTTATTTCCTGAGAGTTTGTCTCTTATATCACTCTTATTCTCAATTTTGGTAAAATATAATGAATTTTATTATTAAGTCAATTACTATAATTACTAAAGACCTTCAGAATATGTATTTATTCAATAGTCAAATATGTTATATCATATTTATTAAAAATAGTCAAATGTTTACTTTAATATTTATTTATAAATCTTAATATTCTATATAAATTCTAATTAATGTATTTTATGGACATTTCGTTCATAGAACGTTCTGCCCCCTTCCCCACCCCCGCTCTATGGGATTTAACATGTGATTCCAGCTTAATTATATGGCTATCTTCAACTTGGGGTTCTTAAGTCTATGGGGAATTAACATGGGATTCCAGCTTGAGTCTATAGCTATACTTTAACATTGGAAAGTTCTCATAGGTTTAATCTGGGGACGCTTATGGAATGGAAGTACAGCTTAAGTCTATAACATAGGATTAACATAGGCAATACTAAGTCTATCGGTAATGTTAGATCTATGGGACTAATACTAATCCTATGGGAAATGCTAAGTCTATGTGTAATGCTAATCCTATGGATCAATGTTAGGTCTATGACAATGCTTAGTCTACGGTCTTCCTGGATAATAATGCTAATCTATTCATAATTTTTGTTTAATGTTTTTAATTATTTATCGTTTATCAAACATAAAAATTTAATTAGTTTAACAAATTTATTTTTGTTCAAATTAATATTTTTAAAATCACAAAAATTAATTTGCTTCAAACAAATGTCCAAAAATATTCAAATATCGATATAAATAACAATTCTGTGTAAACAACTCATATAAACAGAAATTATTAAACCAATAAATACATGCATTTTAGAGTTAAAACTATTCATTTAATCACTTTAACCGCTGATCCAGAAATGAAAATATATATTGCAATATAGAAATGCTTTTATTTCAATAGTATATTATTTTTCAATAAAATGCTAGAAATTCTTATCGATTTTTATCCATTAATGGTTTCGTTGTATTAAATAAATATTTATACAATAGAACCGAAAGGCCAAAGGTTTGCATTAGAATAGGCTATTAATGGTAAGATAATAGTGACAATGTTTTTTAAATGGCCTGTTAAAAACACTCTGGTCGAAAAATTATTTGTTTGATTAAAACAAAGGTCACACTAATTGTGTTAATGTTATTAGAGTTTTGTCAAAACGTGAAAATTTATTTAAATATTTAGTCATATTTCCATTAGTTGTCATCACTTCACTCACTCTCACATTCATTGGCTTTATATAAGTTTTTCGGAAATTCCTANACATTCATTGGCTTTATATAAGTTTTTCGGAAATTCCTAAAAAGTCAGACAATTTTTTTTCCTTCAAAATTGAAATTCCAAATGAAATAAAATTTTGCCAAAAAAAATATAATGAAATTATTGCTGAAAACATCGGAAAATGTTTGAAAATCTAATGACTTCATAAGCGCCTCAATTCACAGAATATTCTGTGTATTTCTCAGAATTTATATTCAAAACTCAAACTGACTTATGGCTGGTATTGAACCAACCGATGAA